CGAAACAAAAGTACAATGTTTACTTTCATTTCTCGTCGCAGCATCTCGGGCCTCAGAAAACACTTGGAGGGCTGCATGGTGGCCCACGGGCCGTATGTTGGACAACCCTGCTTTAGTCCCTAGGGCTCTCAAACATCAGTCTGCAGCTGCCCCCAAGTCTGAGTCCAGCTCCTTCAGCCCACAGTCCTGGCTAACTAAGCCAGTGAGATCTCCAGCTCCACTGTCACTCCTATGCGTAGGGCTGGCCAGGTTTTCTGGGCACGCTGCTGTCTCTTCTGCTTACTCTAGCCTCAAGCTTCCTCCTCTCTTGTCCCTTGCCTCCCAACCCCCGGATGTTTCTGTAGTCCAAATGAACCATCAACACAGCACTGAAGACTGCACCCTAGTTTCTCCTGCTGTTACACGTTATAGTCACATTACGATAGGTTATTCAGTACTTGAAAGAATCTGAGATTTATATGAAACTTTTCTGAAGCGTATCAAATGTCAAAAAAATTAGTTATTTCCCTTATTGACCCCCAGTTTATTTAGGCATATGAACAGTCTCATTGATGTCAATGGCAATGCCACATGCAGTGGTTATTGGCTTTGGTTCTGCAAGACTTGCAGGTCTGCAAATCTCACCAGAGCTGCACATCTGCTCATGACTTCCTGATGCCTTTGTTGGCTCATGTCTGAGCAATCTCACATAAATAAAGAGCAAAATCACTCAGTAATGACCGTATGCTAAGGCTCCATCTGCTTTTATTTGTTTATAATATCCCTAATTAGGTGATGTGCTGGGAGACCCATTCCAGAAATGGGTGGGTTTTGTGTCCACCAGCTTTTCAGTCTTAGATTAGCATAGAACTTCAAAGGTTTTTACACTAAACAAAATGCATGCAAAAAAGCCATGACATTGATGGCTTGCAATGCTGTGTGGGAGCATAAAGAGGCTTGAGAATCACCTCTGAAGAGATATACAGAAGATTTGAAAGCAGAAAACACCACCCTTCAAGGTTCCACTGATGCTGCAAAAATATATCCAATATTTTATCTTGAAGCCTCCCTCGCACATGTTGAAGTAGGATGAGGGAGCATATGGCACTGGGAGGTCCCACTGATGCTGCAAAGATATAAAACTGATGGTCAGCTTTTCCCAGCTTGGACACCTAAAGCTAGGCACATTAAATCCCATTCAAATACCTAAATAAAGTTGGATTTTTCAGGAGTACTGAAACATATGCACACCACTCCCACTGAAATTAGCAAGCCTGCGGGTATTCAGCGCCTGAGAAACTTGGGCCATTTTTATGTAGGGGTCTAAACAGACATTTAAGAATCT